TAGTGCTAATGTTTAACTACGTGTGTTATGAAGAGTAGCCATCTGAACGCACGGAACTAACTCGTACAATATCACGCTAACACGTATTGTAAAAACTCGCCGACGCAGCTGCTTGGGAATTCTCAAACAACAGTCCCCTTGACAACGTTCGGACAGAGTTCGTTGATAGACACAGCGACATCGTCAACAGAGCATCAATGTCTTCAATTCTAAGGAGCAGGACTGGAAAATGTCTGGCGATAAGGGATGCAGCGTGGCGTGCCTACAAGGCTAACCCCAATCAGAGACTTTGGGCACTTACCTGACCCATGGCAACCATTGCACTGCACTTCTCCGTGAGGACAAAGTAACTTATCAACTGTGCCCAGCTAAAAATCTCATGACAAACAACAAACTGCTATATAGGCATGCCAATAATCTTCGAAAGTGAAGCATGGAATCACCCCACTTTTCACGATAGGCGGTAGAATACAAAGCGCCGAAAAAGCAGCTAATGCCCTGTGGCTTCAATAAGCCCCAATTTTCGAACTCGCAACCTCTACCTGTCCCATAATGGCATGCACATTACCGACTCCACTGTTTACAAATGTATTTTTCAACCCATCAGTTGTGCTAATGAACTTACTCTCACTGCGCAATCATAGTTCTCCAGGAGCAGACAACATCCGCCGGAAGTCACTGAAGGCTGTGGCTAACAAGCTAGCTGAACCACTGTCACATTTTTTCCAAAGGTACTTTGATGAACAACAAGTCCCAACTATGTGAAAGCGTGGCATCATAACCCAAATTTGTAAATGCGTTAGCCGTTTAGAGCATGCAAACTACCACTCAATGACTCTCCTCCATGTGTCGCGAAGGTGATAGAAGCGGTTGTCCCCGAGGCTTTGAAGGAATAGCTGGAAAAATGCAACATCTTGTCATCGGAGCAGCATGGCTTCCGTCAACACCGGTTATGCACCATTAACCTACTGATTGAACGACGTAGTTGGACGGTAGTATATGATGATGGGGTCGGAGTTGACATCATCTATCTGGACTTCTCCAAAGCATTCTACTGCCTGGATCACCGCATCCTACTTCAACGGCTACCGAGCTACCGAATCGGAGATCCTGTTTTTGGTGGGATTGGCAAGTTCCTTCATCAACGGAAGCCTCAAGTACGCGTTAGGGGATCACTCTCTAACCCGATTGAGGTGGAATGTGGTGTCCCCCAAAGCTCAGTGGTGGGACCGCGTTTATTCCTGGTGTTTATCAACGACCCGGCAAGAGTTATCTCCTCAAATTTCCTGCTTTTCGCAGACGACGTCAAGATATAGTGGGCAATTAGTAACGATGAAGCGCACGATCTACTCCAACATGACCTAGATTGCATTTATAAATGGTCAAAGAGGAACCTGCTTCAATTGAACATAGCTAAGTGCAAGGTGATCCATCTGCATCACCAGCCGGTGAGCGCTTACAAGCTTGGAGACCACGCCTTGCAGAAGGCCTCTCAGGAACGTGACATGGGTGTTTTGGTACAGGAAGATCTCAGATGTTCAAAACATGCAGAGAAATTGACGAGAATCGGCAATCAACACTTCTGCCTGCTTCTCAGAGCCTTCGGTCGGTTTGAACCCTCAATCTTTCCCCAAACGCCTAACGCTTACTTGTGACTGCACGTGAAATATGCAATTCAAGCGTGGCAACCGTGGCAGAAACAAGATCCTGTTGCTCTTGGGACTCCCCAACCAAGGTCAAACAAGTACGTCAGGGGCCTCTTTCATCTGCCCTATCAGCTTAGACTGAAATCTCTAAGAATATACAGCAGTTGATATCGGCTTTTGCGGGGGGATCTCATAATGGTTTACCAGATTCTGAAGAACCCAAACCACATTTGCCGTCCGCTGCTGGAATTGAACCACAACACTAACCTAATAGGTCATCATCTGAAACCGACAATTCAGTATAGCCGGCTTGAATGACGTAGGAATTTCTTTTTCCTCCGCGTGTGCCAGCTTTGGTACGATCTTCCTGCTTATGTCGTCTCCGTTCCCAAGCTGGCGATATTTATTAACCAGTTGACGATGCGTTGTCTAAGTTACATTTCGTTTAATGAATTGTTAGCCAGGGGCTACAAAACCCAATTAAACAGTGTCTTGTCAAACTCCCAAGCAATGAATTTATGGATTTATACGTTTAATACGCCAACATCTAAGCTGTTCTACGTAAGCTTATGGTGCGTCCACCAAAACGCTTTTCACTTTGTCGTGAAAGTTCATTTTTGCAATAATTTCTATCCTACGGGACTTGTTAAGCCATGCTTTTTTACCCGTAATAAACCATTGTTCTATTGTTTCATTGAGGATGCAAATTGGATTAGAAGAAAAATTTTATGGTGTTCGCGCTATTTTGTAGGCGACATGTGAATTCGAATCAATTGGGCATCTTCCATAGCTTGACATTCTTATAGATCGCAGGGTAATGGACCCAATGAGCGGTTCACCAGCTTCTCACCGATAGCACACAAGTGCGCGCCGATGACAACATTTTTCACTTTCGCCAGACGTGTACGTCCGAACGATTTCTTAGCCGAGGAAATTGAGCTCATCACCAAAACACTCATGCAGAATAGCTATCAAAGAAAGTCATTGGAAAGCCACAGCCCGTTTAAGCTGCCCAATAAAACGATGTTGACGGCACCAAGTAAAAAGTATTCATTTATTTACCATTCAAGTGTTACGCCACTGCAACTAGGAAAATTATAGGTCGGTTCTAGGCTGTTCAGCGTATGTGTTAATTCTGAACAGAATCCGAATATTGTAGCTACCTCCGTGCAATAACTGATGTCAGGCTTCTTGCCGAAGCCCACTTCTTATTCCGTAGAATACAGTTCGAGCTGCTTGTACGTCTGTGTGCCAGTTGCCTTCTTTATTATTCATGCCTGTCAGTTTGGGTATGTTAATGCTATATAATCATCAAATTTAGTTGTATAAAGCACTTACTTTACTTTAATTTACTTACTATATTTCTGGTGATTGTAGACTGCAGGTCGTGATCTTTATTGCATCGCACTTGTGTAAGCCTTTTGCCGTACTACGTTTCCAACAGCTTTTAGTCTGCCACACGCACGTCACTCGTTTACACATTTAAAATACTCTTCCGGACTCAAATACAAATTTGAAACGCAAACAGCTTACGTCAAGTATTTTTAAGTGGAAGATAGAAAACGAAATCAGGCTCTAAAATGTTTCTCTTTTACTATGATAATTAACTACTCATATGGACAGACTTTGTGATCTAACGATTTCGTACTCGTTCACCGACGGGTATTCGGGATAACCCCAAGGTAGCATTCATCGGTTGTGTGTGCACTGAAGTCAATCTCACGGATCCCATTTCTTCTACTTATGTCCTTGATCTAATTATGTGTTCAGTGACCTCTCAGGCAGCTGCAGCCAATTCGACCAATTAATTTAGTACACTTTCATAGAAGTGGGGGAAGTCTTGTTTTCTTCTGTTTTTATTTTCTCTAGTACGCAGCCAATTTATTTTCCCGAATTAGTTGAGCACCTCGTTATCCCATTAACCACAAATCCTAGGCCACTAATAAAACACTGCATTTGCGAAGTCCCACCTCCAAACTGCATTTAATATATCCACATTACTGAAAAACTATTTACACGCAGCTTATATCATCTCTCTTGAAATCTTTCTTTTGTACAATAGTTCATCGTCTTCAGTCGCCTATGTGCTTGTAGCATGCCGATTAACAGTTATTTTCTGTACCCAAGCAGCCGAGACATTTACAGCTACCTGTTTACTCACCGTCCACTATGTGACGTACATCGGACTAAGTTCGCTAATATGGTCAGCTGTTTCCTTGCACATCAAAGTACGGTATGGTGTGCAGCACTAAGATCCATATTCCCCAGCAAAACAAGCTTATTAATGGTGTATCCCACAATTTAAGATCATATGGTAGTCAAAAAACCAAGAACAGAACAAAGTAATGGCATGGAAATAACTTTTGCTAGTAGAAAAAGGTAGATGCAGAAGTCACACATGGATTGTAAGCGGTTTCACAAGCATCTACGCAACAGTGTTCTTTCGGACGAGTTACAATAGCCGGTTATGAGAATAAAACGGGCGGCTAGTGAGCTTAGCCATAAAATTCATTGCGTGAAGCAAATTGCAAGTGTATACTACTGGTTACCGTGGTTAAAATAGATTTCATCGCTAGCAAACGCAGACAGACAGACAGCACAAATCAGAAAATGCACAGGAAAGTGAATGATGGCAGATTGCATCCCTACAGTGCTTATAAACTACCACATTTTTAATCGCCTTTCCCTAATTTATTCCACTAATTATGGTACAGTGTTTTAGCCATATTAACCCATAAACACGCCTTCGAATTTTGTTCTGCGTTCCTCATTTCGTTCGTTGCGCGGGCCTTTGTGTTGAGCATTCTTGTTGTTGCTTAGTATTTGCTGAACGAAATTGTCCAAAGCTCAGACTGTGTTTGATTTCGAAGCCTACGGCTAGCTTCGGACCCTCCGAAAGCCATGAATAAACCAACAATTGGTTTGACGTTTTTCGTAACTAGCTAAGCTATATATTAACCTTTATTGCTGTCTTTTACTCTGTGGCATGGATTCTAAAAGGAAGTGACCAGGAATAAAAAGAGCTAAGAAATTCAAGACTAGCAAACCGGTCGTGCTTAAATAAGAAACGACTGTTTGGAGGATTAGTACTGCGCGTAAACTGGTTCGGCGCAAGGGAGGGAGTGTAATGCCGTAACCCCGTCCTGTATTTGATGTTTAGGAACGACGTATGAAACAGCCTCAGTGTGGCTTGCTAAAAGAAGAAATATTATTGGGTCAAGATAACTAGACACCTTATTTCCTGGTGCCGATGAATATACTTTGTAGTGTAAACACTTTACTTTGAAGCAGCGAGTAAGAGAAAATGAACTGTTTCCAATCAGTTCATGATACAACTGGTTTGGGCTCGTTGTTTTAATCGGTTGCTTGGTGGTAATATAAGTAGTAGTGTAGAAAAACCATATGGCTTACTTCTAAACCGCGGAATAAGTGGCGGAATTCTGTGCAGAGAAGCGCGGAACCTGCGTAGGCTGCGTCAACGTGCAGCCAAATATTTTCCTTTTGGCCTAAAAGACAGAAAGCCAAAAATATGCTTGCATTTTGGTCATCAAGATGAACCCTCATCCAGTGAAAACTGCTCCAACTACAATTTTGGCTCGATTTGTGTGAGTTCATAATTCAATTGGCACGAGTATGTGGGTTCGTTGCTGTAAATCTTATCTAAACACGAACTCAGTTAGGACGTTGTTGATATTATGACAGATCTGGCTAATGAATAACGGTTGTGATTTAGTCTCTATACGTTGTCTTCCAAACGGTTTGCCTGTTGACGAGACAACATGGTCGTCAATTGCGATGTCTTAAGTATCTCATTTAAATAGTAATTTGATTCATAAACCTTGTCTGCTTCCAGTTCGCTCCTGATATGGCAATCCGCAAGATCAACAAGCATACTTTCCCACTTTAAGGTAACTGGACGGTACTATTTAAGAGATTTGCATAAACTTTAAATAAGATTGTGCGGCGATATTTGTGGTCCGATAGCACACAAGAGTCCACGAAAGCACCATTCTTGTTTCTGTTAACGGCGAGTATTTCCTGTGTATGCCGTAGGCAAGCAGTTATGAGGCACTAGTGTACTTGTGCTTAATGGTAATAATATACATCTATTAACACAGTAAAGACTTGAATTCGTTTTCAAACGTTTCACACGTCAAGCCAACCTCGCATCTATTTGTATTTTTCGGATGGCCAGTCATGTACCTGGACATGGCTAATGAGGAAGGCGCTTGAGTATATGTTGCGATATATCGTTGCCAGCAACCGTTGCTACAACAGTTCTTGCAGATCTGGTAGTCTTAGTGGCATGTCTGGGAAAGCAGTGTCAAGGGTTCTAGCTCTTCACCGGGTAGCGGAAATGGCCACCTCGCAAGAGGAAGCAAACTTTTACTCCTCAACTCTTAGGTGTGTGGCTGGCCGTTGAATGAACATAGCTGTGACCAATCCAGAACATGCTGAGCAATTAAACAATGATTCGCGCCTCAATTCCTTTACACTGTGTAAATCCTCTGATATGTCTTCAAGATTGAATTTATCGAGTTGAAGTAGCTTGCGTTGACTTATTTAACTGAAAATACAAAAATTGTTTCATCCATGATACAGTATGTTGAGTACTTCAACACAACAAAATATTACGAGGGTGTTAAATAATTGGATTAAATCAAGTAAACGCGATTACATCCCACAACTTACACAGAGGTCCAATTTCTTCCAGATCATCAAACTCACATGTGTTTGTGGTACCAAGGGTTGCGATACACTGAAAATTAGATGGCGAATGACCGATTGCTAGGTTCATCGAATACTTAAAGCAAAAGTGATTTGCCAGTAAATAAACCAAAATCTCAGAGCAAACTAAAGAGTGCCCAAATGCAAGAAAGTCAATCTCATTTGTTAATTGGGTCAAGCTATTTTGAACTTTATTTAAGTGTAGTAAAATGAATACGTCGCAAATACGAGTGATAGCTGAGGTTACTATGGTGTATTGTCCTGTATCAACAGATGTTAGGACCAAATAATACCCCAGTATTTATAGCGAAGCATAAATGGTGGTGCATGTTGGCGGCTAGAAATGAATGTTTTCCACAGCGATACATGTGCAGGAATGGAAAAATTAAGCTTCTTTCATCCAGTCTTGTTAGGGGGTTAAAATCAATATTCTTACTAATACTACTTTTTGTTACCGCTCTGCAAAACGAAAAGTATTAAACGTGTGAATCCTTGTTTACTAGATTATGTTGCGCTGCGTAATATTGATCCAACTGAAATACACAGATGAATATCCTGCCTTCAAATTAATATTCATTTATAAGTATGTTATGGATACGGCCCCTAACATCAAAGCCACCGCATAACAAGGATATCGACAGTACGGACATGTTTAAACGACGCCCTTTTGTCGTTGTGTATGGCGGGGCCTTCCAAAAATATTTACCGCTATTAATTCCTAATTCCATCAAAGGCTGAGCAACTGTAGCCTGAACACAACCTCCTTCAAACAAATATGATGCCACTATCTTTATTCTCTGCTGTGTCTACGTTATTGCGCAGGTTAATCCGCGCGAATTTCCTGCATATCAAGGAAAGGAAGACGCAAATGCAAATCGTGACAAGCACAATCTTTACAGAAGTTAACAACTCAGGAAGCAGGTGGCCTATAAAAATAGGTATAAAGGCAATTTCTGCAAATCGCTTGCATCTGTGAAGATTTATGCAGATGTCTTTATAAAATCAACTTTACACTAGCGTGTGTTTCGCTAATGACTCCGAGCTTGTTCCACTCTGAATGAAGATAGCGAACGATCATTAGTATGTGTCCGTCTTATTTCCATTCCACTAGTATTTTAAATCCATTTTAATCAGAAAATGTTGTTTCGCAAAAGTTAATTTCAGCGAAATTTCTGACCGCAGATTCTTTAAATGGCCAAACATTCTATTAACATTGGTTTAGTGGGTTTCATATCTACTGAAATCGACCTATTCACTTAGTTAGCAGCAGGTAGAAAACTATAGGGTTGTTGTTAAGCATTTTATATGGTTAACGTAACCTCGTCAGCAAATATATCTATAAATACTTAAGCCTGGACACTTTCTCTCCTTGTTTGCAACTTTACTTAAATTCTTTTTTCTTTACTCATTTTAGCTGGGATGAACAGCAGTCAAGAAGCACGGACCGCTGATTCCAAGGACAGTGAATGCTTTAATAATTACACAAAGAAGACAGGTGCGCTCTAGGTTCCATCTCATCTAAGGTTTCTTTTGCCTAGCAAACATAGCATTATGTGTTCTGTCGCATCATTTCGCTCCAATCTCTCTTAACAGTTGATTTAAAAATATTCCCCGTCTACTATAAGATAGATAAGTGGCTACATGTGTAGTGCACAAGCACACTGCCACCCAAACATAGTCCGAGCTTGCATTCTCCGAAATCCGGAACAAGATTCAAGTTTATTTTTACCCTGAAGTAATGTCATTTTGATCCATGTCACTCAATAACCACAGAGATAAGAAGATATAAGCCATAATGCAACCGCATGAGCACGGACTATAGGCCACATTTACATGTTAAATATATTTGTATTTTTGGATTTGGCTTGAGAAAAATACCATTCGTGTTTTCAGGAGTCCACTACTAAACCACAGTGCAAAATGAACAAGCAAGTTTTCGTAAGAACAAGGCACCAGTTTGCGTTTAGAACTCGTTACATTGACCGATTGCCTGTCAGATATAAAGAAGTCATTAGTGGCATATCCATAAAATCTAGATTGGTTACGTTAATTACGGTCATCTGTGGTTATTAGAAGCAAGGATGTTGTTTGCACTTGAAGCAGAGGACCTCTGTTATTCGAAGAATCACTACATCAGTTTGAGTTTTCTAACAACAGCAGTAACTTTCATACTTACAAACAGAGGAATGAATCCTTTTTCACGATCCACCTCGATGGCATCTTGGATATCTTCGACTTTCATGACTAATCTGTGACCGATAAGCTTCGATTTGATTACCCGTGGCTGAAGTAGTGCCAACTCCACCGCCCGAAGCACTGAGCTGTTCACCTGCGTTATAAGCACAAACAAGAGAACAACAAGCAAATATCACTGTCACAGCAATGCCAAATGTAATACATTGGTACTACTGTGGATTGAGATCTCCACAGCCCTGCCATTACGAAACCCAGTGACCAATTCCATGTCAGAAACTAAGAGATTTTGAGAACATGTCAGGATTACCGTGCGCCAACATTTTAATTGGGACCTAAGGGTAAAGCACAGATATAATTTCTTGGAAAAATATACGGTAGGACTGATCAGATTTTATTCATCTCGAATCCTACTGTAATGAATGCTCTGTCCTAATAGCTTCGTATAAGTCTATTTAATTTGGGGTTCCTGCATGACCTAAAGCTTGGTAGGACGGTTTTTAATATTTAATCTCACGTCAGGCAGAAGGCGTTTTGAAAAAGCCATGAATTTTAACTGTTACTCAGAGGCTAATTAAGTGGTAAAGGTGGCAGTACTCGGCTGGAGATTTTAAACAATTACCTTATTAAATTATGGAGAGAATATTATTTGATTTTCACACCACATAGTTCAAATGGACCGGAACGACGTTCATCAGCTCTTGGCCTTCAGCAATCCAGAATGCTTGCGCTATGGTCCCCACCTTTCTAATTAAATTTTCAGTGTCACCTGCTCCCGGATTTTCATGAGATACAGTCCAAGTTACCGATTTAACTAAGCCTCGGCTCATAGTTAGTTAATGTTCTAACGGATAATGCACGTTTGGTCTATTCAGAAAAACATGCAAATTTTGTACTCCTACATCTACGTGACTTTGAAAAACAGGTAAGCTATCTTGTGTATATGAATGATAAGTAATTTGGCCATTATCTCACTTGGGTTTGTCTCTGTTTCTTGAAATTATACACCACTTTACATCGCAGGAACGCAGGTACAGTTCCTTCGGTTCTCCATTATGGACTGGCAGTTAAAAATAAGCGTGATTCTCACCACAGCTAGTTAGGCCATAAACACTTGCAAGGCTTAGTCTACTTTGCTAGCCGTGCAGAGTGAGGTTTGTGTGAAATACTTACGAATTACAAATCACATTATTGCACTTTTCCTTTTCTACTCAACGGGTTTACACTTTTACACAGGCATAGCAACTAACCACAAACTGCGATCTAACAAACCGAAGTCGTCTTACATTGACTATTAATTACTAGTCCAGATAGAAAACACAAAAATGGCCTCGTGATCTACAAAGAATATCGAAGAGTATAACCACTTTTAAGACGACCCTACTCACAAAAGTTTCAATCATGGCATTCTACATGAGCAGTCACAATTTGGCGGTGTACCCTATATGATTCTTTAATCGTTCAGTGACTGAAAACAACAGCTAACTCAAAAGTTCCATATGTGCAAAAGACAAGGACGGTCAATGGTCGGCTAGTGCAAGGACGTAAAAGCCACTATCCTAGCAGAAAAAAAGTTCAGCCGCCTATGTTCAGAAGCATGTAATGTTCAGTTATAATATATTGGTAGCTTTATCTTCAAATCCATTCACAATGTGCAAAACTGTAGCGGACTCGCAAAAATCAAACAAATTGCTACTCTCACCTGGTCCGATAGATACACAACCGAACGGTCTGCTATGGCCCCCGGACCCCGTCCATACTGCAAATCTTCTTCAGTGACAGCCGTAGTTTGATAGTTTTGCTTTGCTGCACGGTTTCGAAGTGCTATAGCGATATTGAGAGACGCAACACTGGCGCTACACTGAATACGCAAATATGAAAGAGGGTTTTTAACCGTTCAGAGCCTAAGTTTATGGTTTTGCTTATATGGTAACAGATTGCGATTAAAAGTACGGTTCTATCGACTGTTCTCAGTGAAATGAAGTTATCAGTTAGTAGAAACACCTCATGTCAGAAAATGTGGATGTGGGCCTTACCAAGGTTAGATTCAGTGGGGAACACAAGTTCAAGCGAAAGTTGATAGACAGCATATGACATTATTGCAACCGAACCAACTACCACTTTTCGGTGATGTGGGCACGCAATAAATCAGCAGACTAGCAACATCGCTGTCTGCTTCTCATGATGTCATCATTAATTTCCTGGTAATACCCTTTAATGTAGTTTACACAAATTTTGTATTCAGCCTTAGTATGCTGTTGCACCACAACGTAGATATATTGGTTGGTTATCAGACATTTTCTTCAACAAGCAAAAATATGACCACAGATTTTATTCGTATAGAAGAAGTAAGTGTGAATCCGTGTTTCGTGACCGAATGCAATTCTGTAGGACTATACAGCGTTTGGGCAGGCTTTGGCAAACATTACAAATATAGATAAATCACCTCAATTATCCCACCTCCACGGCAACCGGTTTCATTTTGACCCGAATGATAAACGAATTTCTTTGGAAGCCCGAGCGCTTTTGCTAGCCAGTTAAGAACAATGACCTCCAGTTCTGTGGCACTTGGACATGCAAGCTAAAAAGCAGAGAGCGTTGCGATACTTAATAGAATCTAGACGCTGATAGAGTTATTGTTGTTATAGAGCGGGTTACCGTGATGTTAATGGATCGTCAACTAAAAGTACAAAACAAATATAATGAATTAATCAAATTGGTAACGACCAGCAGGATGAAGCATTTTATTTGCATACAACACGCGTGCAACTGTATTTCTTCGCCAGAATTTCTTTGAGAATCTTGTCGATGCAACACTGCAATATATTCACATAAGAAACAATTCAGGCAAACCGTGTACAACCGGCCTTGTCAGGGATGGATACACCGTGTAAACAATAAATATGACACAGTGAGACAGAAGATGAGTGTGGTCGTTAGCGGTTGCGTTGTTAGCGCAGCGGCGATTATAATGCTCTTATAAGCGCAACAGCTTTGTAAGAACTAAAAGCTGTATAAAAGCAAAGATCTAAATATGGTTCTTTCTTCTACACTTTTTGGGATACAGGTCTGCCGGAAGAGTGATCAGTGCAGAAGAACGAGACGACAGCAAATGATTTCACTGGCGTATATACATGACATGTCGCTCACAGACCACAAAGCAGAAGACAGGCGCTCTGCTGGAGCCATCCTGTGGAGAATACACAAAGTGATTGGTCATTTCGAAGTACTCGTTTTGTGATCTGACTACGAAGTACAAATTCTATGTGCATCATGATTCGTTTGGAAGTGAATCTTTTTCAATGTAGTCAATTGGACGAGAGCTGAAGCAGTTGGAATTTGGGTGCTGCAAGTCCAAACACCTTGCGTCGTGCGACACATTTCGACCTTATTTGATCAACCAGTCAGAGATAGAAGGCCTCGAACCCGGGACCATTTGGATGCTAGTTTCACCCTCTATCACGGTATACCGTCGCCATCTAATCACACAATGTGTATTTCAAAATGGCTCACGAGCCATTTGTTAATTATTGTGTCACCCCTTTTCCGTCGTGACCCCGGGTTAGATAGCTACAGGTTGAAACTACCGTCCCAGCGGCCCTGGTTTTAGGCCTTGCTATCTCTATCTAAGGAAACAAAATAAGGCATAAGCATACGGAATGTGCGGACAGTATACTTGGCTTGATCCATAACTGCTCAAACTTTAAGGTAAAACTAAAGTCTGGTGTGCCATGTAAATGTAATGCACCGTTACAAACCGAAAGATAGCTTTTATGTTTGTGAGTCAACAGTGCAAAGTGCCAACTCGCTTGATTTAATGTGACTTGACAACTGACTGATGAACAGCCTCTTAACCCCAGTTACTGTTATGCGACTGAAATTGCAATTTTTTATGCCTGGTCACCGTATGTGGGTTTCTCATATTTCTTTCAAAATGATAAGGTAGCTACTGAAAGGAGGGTGTTACAGATAATCATCTGTAACCCTTCTTAAGCGGATGGTCGAGGTATTAAAGTAGTCGGCTGTCCCTGAAGTGGATTTTGGTTGCGCAGTGTACATTTGCTTATTACATTAGTGAGCACCAGAATATAATTAAGTGACAGAAAAAGTTAAGAATTCGGGCGAACTTGAAAATCGAATAACGCTGAGCTAGAATGGTATTTCGATTAGTCAGGAACCCATCGAAGGTAGTACAATCGTCTTCTGAGTGAGGTTTAACAAAATAGAAGCCAGTGTATATGGGTTTTATATAATTTAACAGAAATGGTTTAGACCAGCAAACACGGGTTTCGTTTGGTACGAATGGGATAGTGACACCTAGTGACTCCCTCGAATGTTCTCAAAGTGGCTAGTTTACTAGAAAAATACAACGGGTTTTCCCTTGAAATGTCTGAGGGAATTAGACGTAAGCTGAGACGCTATTTAGTATAATTGTCACGTGGCTAATTCACAAATTCAATGTATGTTTTTGCTTATAGGAGGAAGTTGGCGTGGTTAAAAGGAATAAGACTTCACAAAAAGTTAATACCTATCCTTGTCGTTGAAGTTCGGCTCTATTTGGTTCATCATTATTGGCACAGTTTTTCACACATTCGTCTGTCCCACAGGTTTTCCGATTATGAATAATACTCATGTAGCGACAGCGACAGAAGTATAATTAATAAGCATTCTACCAGGGTCCTACCAGAATGCGAGATTAATCTACTACACTGACCGTGTGCAACATGCAGGGTACAAGATGCGGCGTGTATCAATCATCAGTTGTATGTATTCTGCAGTTCTACAAATAAAAAGGCAACTGCCGCTAGAGTGAAAGAAAACTGCCGATTCGTTAGCACACTTATTTATCTGTTTCCCAGAGTTTCTTATTGGAAATTTGATCGGAATACAACCATGACTAAAAGAAGGTGCTAAATCATATTTATACAGTTGGCCGGCGGAGAATGAAACCTAATCGATTGCCGGCTTCCGGGATCATCATTTTTAACCATATCTAATCAGCTGGATGATATACATTCGATTTGTCTGGGGTGATCGAAAAGGTGTAGTAAGCAATTATGATAATAAACCACACATTTCCCACTTACCCAGCTAAAACTAAGCGCGCCAACAGAGTCAGCAAGTAAGTCACCAAGAATTGATGGAGTTGAGCATGCCGTTGGGAAGTACCCGTGAAAATCCGGATGTTGCCAATGCAAGACCTGAAGAAAATTGCAACAGTTTTGTCTATCTGCTTAATGTACACAAAAATAGGTCGTTGCATTTCATGAGGTATGGGACACATCCGATACACTTAGGTGGACAACTTATGGATTTGTAAGTAAACAACTCGAAATAGATTGTAGCAGTGAAATGATTTGGCTTTAGTGCAAATCTGCAGTACGTAACAAAGCATTTGCAGACTCTATGATTATTTAAATAGTTGTGTGGGAAGTAATTCAAAAGTTTTGGCGTGTATAAGTCCTATAGCTTACTGCCATTGACTTAACTAAAAATTAGTGTAGTCGGCAGCATTATCTGTGAAGATAAATCACTTTGCGTCTTCTCGTTTTCGTGTTTGACCACTCTATTAAAAAGGGTCTTGATAAAATATGTTTTCCATTCCTCTAAATAATCGGTCAAAATCCTCAGATTAAGCAAGGGATTTTCTGCAGCTACTAGCCCTTGTGTTCTTGCTATTTACAGCGTGAATAGGTTGCAACACGTATCCAAAAACAGTGCTGATTGAACCATACAAAGCGTGCGAGATAGTTACTCGCGCCAATTAGAGTGGAATCCACTCGCAGACCGAAAAGTACACTTGTTCCTCTTTGAGCACTAGCTCGCCAAGTACACTTCCCCAGATTTATATTAGATGTCCCTCAGACATATGTGATTTAGTGGGCTGCCTGTGACTGATGGCAATATTATTTGTGAAATTTAGCACCACAGAAGCAAAAGAACAAGATTAGTTCAGACACCAAAAATGGACTTCAGCTCAACCATAGCCCAAAGGACGTGGGGACTACGCAACCAACTGGATTTTTGTGGCTCTTTACCATTAGATATTTTTGCACCATTCAGCCTAAAAGGCAAAAGCAAACAGCAGTATATTTGCACAAATTAATGCGACGCATGATTACTCCAGGTAATATATATTTTTTGTAATCATCCAAAATCAATGCAATATTTTCTCCTTCTTCAGGTGCCTCGTTTGGTAGTACGTCTTGAAGATAGCCTGGAGTGATTGTTTGAAAATCAGGAAGAACGGGGAACGATTTATTCAAAAGGTCCTTCCAATAATCTTTAATGACATCGAGGACCAAGTTGCAATCTTTCTTGAGTTGCTCTGGATCCATTGCCCCCTAAAAGGATGACATATTGTTACTACACTTTCTTTTTCAGGTAACAAATAGTTTGCAATGAATAAAGTTCGGGTTTGTCTGCTACGAGAAATACTGCAAAAAGACAAAGTAACGGAACTTCTCGTATCAACAAGCTTCTCTAAAGTCTTATCGCAAAGTAAGAATTAATCGGAAATCTCGTGTGTTCTGATTCTTCCCAGCATTCACAAGCCAGACTGTACAATTACCAATCCGGCGCGCATCAGACAGCCGTTTCATCCTACTATGACTCGTCAATGGTGAGCATACTCCGTCTACATCCGGAACCAAACCCTTGACCGCTAACAACTTGCGCTAACTTGCCAGTGTCTTATAGCAATTAGCCATGAGATCTGGTGGCAGTCCGGCATAACTTGCAAAGTAACTGGTAATAGATAGCGCGAAAAATACTCCCTTGATCATGCGGGTGAATGTCATAGCGGTTGCTGCAAAACTAACTCACTGGATGGTCTAGAAGTAACCCAATCTTAATCATAATCTGAATCAGAACACTAATTCTTGACTTATTGCCCAATGTTCGACTACAAGCGACGTACTTAAGATGGAGGAACGTGCCGTTAAAGAATTTGGTCATGTAGCCACAGCTAAAAAACATTTTCAATTCGTAGATTATACCCATGGAAATACGAGAACACAACGTTGCGAAGAGTACTCTTTCCGATAAATCTCCTCAGGCATTTACAATTATAAAATGGAAAAGCACAAAGTAAACGGCTGGTGAAGCCAAGGTGGTGGGAATAGTGGAATCACGACAAACAGAAACTCAAAAGTATGGATCAATAAAATCCGTTAACTACACATGTGACAAAGCCCGTGTTAGTTGATCGGTGGGATGCCAAGTGCATCATCCGACCACTGTAGACGCCTGGAGTAGCAAAAATTAGCGAGCTGACTAGGGCCAGGGTAGAAGAAGCCCTTGCAGCAAGGCCTTCTGCTTACATAATTCCGGTTGCAATATTCTAATCGCAATCGCTTCGGCCGTCCGTAAGATTTGCTTTTTAAGCCCTTTAGTGTACCGTGGTTTCACTACATAAAGTAATTCGAAGGCATCAGCGGTCCTAATTCGGTATCCGCTTTCCACCAGATGTCCCAGGATGGAACCAATTATTACGGTTCGTTAACTTCTGATTCACACCGTGAGTTTCATGTGTTAAGACCCATTCAGAAGGTAGCATGTAATTCTTGCTTTACATACAGCATGTAGAAAGATTAACCTGAAGGAAAAATGTTAACTGCTCAGTGGAAGCAGTTCAATGCTAAGTTCTAAGGCTCACTAGGATCCTTTATAAGTTATGCACTTTTTACCACTAATCATTAGTTGCGTTTACATTAAGTCGAATTACCGGTAGCTTAGGCGGTGTGTTGAGACCAATCTGAGCAGTTTGGCTTCAAACACTTCGTCATCGATCGATGCGATATCATTTAATTGTAGCTTTAGTAATGAGAGTAGTTATGACTATATCAGATGTAGCATTCCTAATTGTTAGATATGAGCTTCAGGAAAATTCAGGACAAATTCCATTGGATAATTAATGTACATTAATTCGAAGTCATTAAATTAGCCCTAGCTTAATTAAATATCAATCGATGTACTCAGTACTGCTTCAGTGGTTTTAGCTGGTTGCTGAGCGTGGTTGTTTTAACTGCGGTTACATGTTCATGATCCTAGTGGTGTAATAGAATAACGTGCATGGTTATCAGGTTTCGTGGACAGAAACACACCCAGAAGTACCTCCTTGACTTGTTATTTTGTTTTTACTTTTTTAATAAATTATGTTCTGGTCGAATGAAATGTGTGCCTTTGTTTGTCGAGGTGCTCTAATAGCAGTGACAACGTTTCATGATTTTTGTAAGCCCAGAAGCTTGCTTGAAACGGCAAAACAAGGAATTCATTTTCCCTCAATAGAACTGCGAGGATTAAACAAAAACCACAACTACTGACGACATTTAATCGTAATCTTTTCGTCTGCTAAACCATCAAATGACGTTGAGAGGTAGACTTGCCAAATTGCTTGTATTTTCAAAACTTTGTCTGCAGCATGCACTTTTGTGCTCTTACTGGCTACGGCCTATTACTGTATTAATATTTGCGTAAGTTCCAACTCAGCTCCCAAGAAAGGAATTCATATGCTCTCACCTAGCAGTACGTATACGTCCTTTAATTAATCGTTGTTAGTTGCCGTATACGAAGTTATCTAAGAGACGATGAATGAAACTATTTTGCTTATCGGTTGCAAACTCTTCTTGCTTAACCGCTTTTTAAGATGGCCATTTTTCGTAAATTGAGCTTGCGCATATTTGTTTAGATTTCATCAGAGAATCCAAAGGCAAGTGAAGTATTCGCGGCATAACATTTTGCGTTATATTGGAACGCTGTCGTTCAGGACTGCTGCCAGTGTGAACTCTGGGACATCGTTTCTCCTACTAAGCAGGGCAAACATAAACAATGCGTTTGATAGTAAGGTGTCGTCAATCCTGTATACTATGCGGCGAAATGGCGTCAAATATTTTGTGCAGAATGGCTCAACATAAAAGCTATAGCTGACATAAAGTGCATTTATCGATTGACCAGCTTGTCCAGCATGTCGTAAACTGTTGGTATAATCATATGCTTTTAGTCAAGCGATTTGGACAAACTGTCCTCCTATGGCTCCCTTGAGATGAAGATTCATAAAGCACTTAGGAGATATGCTGTACACAGGCTGCAGCAAATGCTTCACTTTCAAAATCCAGTCCTATCCAGTAGACAAACTGCTTTGTTCCTATATGATATGACGTTCATCTTGCCCATAAAAGTTTACTTGATTTTGGTGTGCTGCATTTAGTGGTATAGCTGACGGATTTGTGTGGGTGCCACTGGCACCTCAAAGTGGTCCTCTCGAACTGATAACAGAAGCTTTTGCGCAGACTCGCCTTAAACTTACCTTATTAGTCTGCAGCTCTCCCTATGTTGCCGGTCTAATCCAGCAAGAATGGCTTGCCTCAGATTGGGGCGTAAGAGTAAAGAACTGCTAAGTAGTGGGAATAGCCTTTTGTAAGAGTTTTTGGCTTATCTGCACTGTGGGTATTCGTCATGATCATTTTTCAGCTATGCTGCACAGTCTTATATGTCTATACAGCAGGCAACATCTAACATCGGTAAAAGAGATACTAAGATGGCATCTGTGATAGAACGCCAATTTTTCCCAAATTTCCATTAGCAAATGTATTTAAACAGTCGTGTCTATCCGACCGAGTATGGTAACGATTTTTATTAAAATGTGGTCAGAAGTACGTCTCTTCTCCTACAGCCGCACAATTTTCACAGCTCTCGTCTCTTTAGCTTTATTCCGTTACCGTTTATAATATATTTCTGGATTTACACTCAGTTGTTATAAATCAATGTGTAATAACCCGCAAAAATATGCGCTTTGGAATAGTAATAGGTCGTCTCACACTTAACTAAACTTGCCATTTAGAATGGTACTTCACCGATACCCACCAGGACAAACCTGCTCTACTTTTAGCTGCAACCACTATATTAGGTCTAATTGAATAGAACATCTTAGTGGTTTTCGAAGAATTTCTCATTCATCTAATTAATTACTGTATCGATCAGCCAAAGGTTATTTAACCTTTATTAGTTGCACGGCCAATACTCCATGTCATCTATGATTGCATCACCGTCTATCGCGCCACATATTAATATGCCCCACGGATGCATTGCTAAACATCCGACGGGTACATTAGACAAAGACCATAACAGCCTAGCTCACTATCAACCCAACGCATCTCGACCTCTGTGATCTTGCTCTAACGTGATGCTAAGTTGGATTGAGGACAAGCGAGACAACCGTTAATCATCAAGGGATCGCCAGCTTAATGGATAGTAAAAGTTGCTCAATGGGGTAGTACCTTGCGTGTTCCAGGCTAAAGCCGAATGTGGCTAATTTGCCAAACATGTCCAATTAGGAGTCTTCGTGTCCTAGGCGTTGCAAGTTTATGGATTTTAGATGTCCCAACCGTACCTGGAAAAAAAGGTTACACGATAGTTTGCTAGACTCACCTTGGTGCTGCGTTATGTACACATATATCGTAAAACGTAAAGTTATCTTCATTAGTTATTAAGTACGAACAGCTAGTAGACAACCTTGATGAGACGGAGACTACCAAATTCACCTTAGAGTGGGCACGCTTAGTGAATTACGCAAACGAATCCTCCCCATTAGGTACTGCATCAAACCTGCTGAGGAATGCCTTAAGTACCGTGAGCAAAGGGACACAAGTAGACAAGTAAATCGACCACAGTTTCAATGGCATAAGCGCTAGAAGCAGGATAAAGGTAATTATAATCAAGGCTTTACCAAACATCTAGGCTGAGCTTATGCTCAGGTGGAACGAGTTTAACCGACAATTTCCATGTCCAGGGCGTACCAAACGCAAAATCATGAGAGAGGCATGAGATGAAAATACAATGAAACAAAGGTATCAATACTTCTAAAATGATAAGACTTAACAAGTCTTGTACCATGTTCCGTTTGAAATGGAGTAGTTGACAAAATGTGACGGTTGTGTAAAACCGGCATCTGTTGACTCCGTATACCTACGTTGTTAACACAGTAAATCCATGTACCCAGATTTCGTGAGGGCTAGTGAGCCCGCTGTTTGCCTGCGTCATTTCGCGACTTGATGAGTAGAATTCACGTCACGTAATGTAGGTGGTGTAAGGCATAGTTAAGTAGGTTGTTTAACCATAAGTATCGTTAAAAAAGAAATGACATTAGTTGGAAGAGCGTTACAAGGCCGGCAAAACCTGAGGGAAAATAATTTCGGAAGCAGCACACTTGGCTGCATTTGGTGGTCAGATTCAGCTGGTAAACCCTCAGCTTTGTGTTGGGGCTACGTTTAAGTAGGTAGCAGCAAACGTGTTTACGGTTTTCAGAATCTGAGGCCAGAAATTGATCAGTCCGTAGACA